CACCCTGTATATATATATGAAATAAAATATCAATATCAAATAATATATCAATAATTAGTATTATTTGTTCAGGTAATACAAAATTATTTCTCAATGTTAATTACTCTTCTGTTTTGCTGTATAAGATTTCTTATAAAAATCATAAAATAAATAAAGAAATATAAGTATATTTACAGTAAAGAGTAACACTAGTCCTCTTGGCATTGGCATTTCGCAAGTGAGAAACTGCAGTAGAATATACAAGAAGCACACAAATTGTATCTAAAATTTCACATATAAGTAAAGATATTAGAAACAAAATATTACAAACTTGTAATGGGCTATGTAGATGCATATTGAAGAAAAATACGTTTTAGATTAAAAGTGACGAGAATGTCACCTGAGTAATTTAATTATAAAATATTGTATTAATACTTGCCATCTGTAAAATAGTTATAAATCGTTTAATGGGAGACATCATCCGTTGGAGATTCGGACTCCATGCAGAGATGAAATAGTACATGTACATGATTACATGCACAATACAATTGACCATTGCGAAATACGAAGTTCTTACGTCCATAAAGTATTTCAAATTAAAGAACACACATCCTACATTAGACATATGATGATACACGTGCAAAACAGAGACTTGGTTTTGTTTTTTCCTCAACACAAATATGCACGTTTCGATGTAATCAAACATTTTCAATAAGAGTCCATACCATCCCGTTATATGCAACTAAAATATAAATTATATAATATATACACATGTTGTCAGACACGTTTGTAGACAAAATAAAAATTACGGTAGATTGGGTTAAACTGAAAAGAAAAAACATCGCTCGTCACTCGATGTGTGACTCCACCTCTCGCTACCACGTCCTAGGAGATATAAACAAATAAACCATTTTGCATGCCTGCCGGGTCCGGCCTTCCGCTCCTTGATCGCTTATTGAGCCAGACATTTTTATCAATTACGCGATAACTATTGCTAATTTTGCACAACGGTACATGACTTTTCTTTTCAGTTTAACCCAATCTACCATAATTTTTAGTTTGGCTACTAACGAGTCTGACACCCTGTATACAATACATATATACTATAATTTGTTTTTTAATGATTTATTATATTAAAAAAACACAAATTAATACTTTTTTTTCCAGAGAATGTGAGATAATTAACATTCCTTTTTCAACAATGTGTGTGTGTGTGTGTTTGTGTGTGTACAAAGTAGTTATGATAAAATGATAAATATTGTCTGTATTATATAAATATGTAACCAAGGAAAATGAAAAGTCAAGATGATGTTAATTTGATGTCATATTGATCAAATTTATGCCATATTTGGTCACTATGACATCAAATTGACGTCATCTTAACTTTTCATTTTTCCTTGGGTAAATGATAGCCGAAATGATAGCCAACAATATAAGAATTAAACTATTAATTAATTGTAAAATCAATTATCTCTTTCAGAAACTTAACATACAATACCCGAATAAATACTTTTATTTATAATAATTGTTTCTTTGTGTTATAACTGAAATACCATACATATATTCATTGCCTATATCAGTATCATTTTTTTAACCAGGCATTTTCTGTTTCTCTGTGAAATAATATTATTACAAAATGTAAACGTACTTCCCACTTTACACTCTGTAATGTGTGAATAATTGTAAAAAGAACAAAACAACCCACATCAAACTGCACTTTTAGATAATATAAGTTTGTCAGAATTTGAATTAAGTCATAAATTAATATAAAGGCTCTCAATTTATATGTCGGTCGATTTTTCATGTAGCGAGGACCAGCATAAAGACCAATACAATGTTTTTATATACTGTAGCTTAATGATAATTATTATATTGTGAAAATATACTTTAGAAACATCAATGATGCTTGCGTACTGTGTCCAACAGTTCTTAACGGTTAATTCTGTCAAAAAAACAAAACAACCGGCCTCAAACTGCCGTTTTAGAAGCCATAAGTTTGCCAGAATTTGAATTAAGTCATAAATTAATATAACGGTTCTCAATTTAAATGGCGTTCGATTTTTCATGTAGCGAGGACCAGCGTAAAGAACAAAATACAAATATCCCACAGTTAGTAGCAATAGTGGAAACGGCGAGGATACGAACAACCAATCACGACTTGATGGGACTGCAAAAATATAATCTTTTAAATAGTGTAATAACCATTTTTTCTTCACGATCTCTTTTCGATAAAACTTTGTTATCAATACTTTCAAGTATACGATATTATAACGATCACTGTTTTAGTAATTAACAAATATTTCTTTTAATCAATTCTATTTTAATACTACTTCTATTTTGATACCTAAAAAATTGTCCTTATAAAATACGAAATAATAAAGGATATAAGGGCCAAGACAGGATGTTAGTGTATAAATTTAAATGATTGTAATTTTTGAATTTAATGAGCAAAATGTACCTCTGTCAGGGTTTAAACCTGGATTAGTTTAAAACTGAATAAACAGTCTAAAGTTATTATCGTGAAATAAGTTTAGACTGTTTATTGCGATAAAAATTACCACATACCTCTGTGGTCAAATTGGTAAAACGCCCTCCTATTCAGAGGGCGGTGCAGGTTTAAACCTTGACTTTGGTACATTTTCCGCAATAAATTTAAAAATTAAAATCTTCTAGACACTATAATGCTGTCTTGGCTCTTATGGTATATCCATTATTACCTCGTATTCGTGATTTCACGTCAAAACCTTATGAATTTTATTTGTATTATAAAAGGTTAATAAAAACGGTACGCACGCACGCGTACACGCACAAACATTTTTAGTAAATATCCGAATTATAATACAAATTTTATTTAATTTGAAAATTGTATAAACATATCAAACTGCCATTAATACGATATTTCTTTATTTTCTTAGAAATTCTTGTCAATTTTTCATAGAATCCTACACTATAAGCTATACTAGCATAAAATTAAAAAGATAGAATTACTTACGCGATAATTCTCTATTCAAATAATTATATATTTCCAACAAACCCATTGTAGAAGATATACAAGTAGTTTCACAAGTAGTTTATATACAAGTAGTGTAAAATATAGAAAATATAGAACGTTCCTTAATTATGAACTTATTTTATTTTACTTATGATACTTAGGTATCAATGGTTACGTGTGTACCTTCGAAACGTTAGACCGATACTGTCCCGTATAGAATCACTGTACTCTATCAATAAAACGGTTTTGCTGAATTTAAATTTATGTTAAGTTGACATTCAATTCTAAATTCATGCACCATTAATATAACATATAGGTATATATATTAATCAATTAAACGGTATATTATAGTAATGGAGGTTGAATTTAGAATTGAATGTCAACTTAACATAAATGTAAATTCGGCGAAACCGTTTAATTGATTAATTATACAGGGTG